CCCCCCCCCCCCCCCCCAAATTTTGACTGGATCCGACCTTGTCAACCTCTAATTATCAATGACATTTCAATGACAATAGGAAAAGTAACACCTCAGTTTTGCAAATTTTCTTGATTCTCATTGGCTAACATTTCCTCTCAGATCAGCTGGACGGCATTAACTGTATGCCTATGCGTACTGGAAATATAACAAAGGTTGCTAAAGACGTGTATCAAGTTTAGCATCTCACCTGTGTTATCAGATCCTCGTGGTATTATCACATCAGCATACTTTTTTGTCTGAAATTTTTTTTTCAAAATTCAACAAAACGTTAAGATTTGAAATAAAACAACAAAATTGGATTGTACTGTTGATGTGGACTATTAGGGATGTGAAAAACTCTTCTAAAATTGTCTAAGTAATGTACATGCAGTTTAATGATTAATGTAGCCTACCAGGTGTAGATAATACTGTTCTTATGTGTACATTTATGTGTGTATTGTTGTTCAATATGGGTTTATTTAACAATAAAATATAAAATAAAATAAATAAAGCAAAGGGATAAAAGGAAATGTATAATTAATTACACTTACTGGTAGACAGAAGTCTTCAAAAGCAGGCTTCACAAAATTAGTATAAGTTGCTAAAACACAGTCTAAATCTCTACCTCTCTCTTGGGTGTCTCTTAGTACTACAAAACAAAAATGTTGTGTTGGTCTATATAACAAATACTACAGGAACTGTACTGATGTATCAGATGATGATGTTGATGCTGCCAATAATCACATCCACTGTATTGTTACATTTGACAATTTACCTCTTCTTGAAAGCCTTGTGTCACTATCAGTATCCACAAATAACTTCATATCCAAAAGATCTCGGATTTCTTTAAAATACAGGGTCAATATTCCTTCAAATAGGATAATGTCTGTAGTTGGATGAATCAAGTTGACCTTTGCATCTCTATGAAATGAAATGCATTATTACAGCATGTTATGAATAAATGATGGATGCATACATTCATTACTATTGCATAGTGCTTACTCTACAGTAATGACAGGGAACTGGACGATATAAACGATAATAGCTAGGGTGATCATGAGGTCGCATTAGGGCTGTTTTAGGGGATGCTTTAATACTTATATGGCAATTATCTCTTGTGCTCTAGCTAATAGTGTTTTGAGYGAAATGAAACCACCTTAGTTCTCATGTTTATTTTCAAATTTCCTTTCGTTTCTTGATGCATAAAATGCTAACTGACTGTTTCACTCAAGATAGCCCCATTACAACGCATTTCTACAAATCAGGAAAGTGTAATTGTACTTACTTTGTAGATGCAATATCATAGTCATATGTAGGGATTTCAACAGTTTTTCCTGATGCAATGCTTTTTATTGCATCGTAATTTTTTTCAAAGTCAAAAGCATCTGCAAATAAATTGATATTCATCAGTCAAGACAAGTTTTTATGATCAGGTAAACTTACCCAGTTGAAATGCTTTAATATTGAGTGGGAAACTCATAGTTGGTACTTAACTGAAACCACAATACAGAAGTATACCATAACAAATATGGTATACTAAAATGGTTTCCTATCCAACACCCAATCACAATATTGTTCTAGTATTGATGGCTAAGGGTAGCTTTATTACAGTTATTAACTCTTACATGTACTAATACATGTACTAATACAGTATAAAACCCTTCTATCAGGCTAATCTAGCTGTGCTATCGGTCCAGCCAACATGAATCAAATATTGGACAAGAAAGGAACTGGTGCACAATACTCCATTTTACAGTTCCATTCAGTGACCACGAATAATAGTTCCAAGCTGGAGTTACCGCGCATGACAAACTGTAGTTTTGCTATGCATGGAAACTCCAACCTCGACATGTAACTATTATTTGTGGTCACTGAATGGAACTGTAAAATGTAATATTGCCTGAATTTAATTTTTGGGAAGAATGTCAGACGCACCTCATTGTGTTGTAAAAGATAGGCATGGCACACAAACCACACAAACAGCTATCTAGTCATTCTCACATAAAATCAGGGTCAAATTACCAAGCAATCTATGTTTCTGATTGGCTCGACAATGGCTTGGCATTGTTTTCAAATTCATTCTACAATTTGATTGGTTCTCGCTGTCCAGGTGGCCCTGGTTATATTCAGAGGCTAGGGTTAATAATATTTACCTGGATGATCGAAGTTAAATTCTCCTTTACCAGCATCTCTCAGCTCTTCTTCGTTCAGTTCCCTGTAAAAGCTTTCCTGACCAATGATAGCCACTCTTGTTTTACAGTCAATGTCGTCTTGTCCAAGTTGTTCCATTATCTTAGAACAAACTGATGACTGTTCAGAAGACATGAAAGATAGTTTGTGACTTATTTACAACCCATGTACGATGCTTTAAGATTGTTTAATCGTTACCCTTTGCATGCAACTATACAGACAACGGTATATGTAAATAAGCTGAACCAAAAACGCTTGACATAGCGCCAACAACGTTAGCTTATGAATTTCTTATTTCTATTGAATACCAGCTCCTATAATGACAGCTCATATAATTTACCACAAATCAGAATTAAAACCATTTTTCTTCCAGGAAAAAAGTTTCGTAGCTTGACTCTGAAGAGTCTTGGTCAAGTTTACCTTTTGGTATGGTGTATTTAGATGACGAAGATAAAGTTATTATCATTTAATCATCATTCCTTGAGATATATAGAGAGAAGTCTTACCTTTCCTGATGCTGAACCTCCAGCTACACCGATGATAAACGGTTTTTTCATCGCCATATTTGTTTTAGAAACAGTAGCCGCAGCCATTTTGGCTTCTTGTTGTAACTTTAAACACAGGCAGCCCAACGATTATGTTTCTTTGTTTACTAAAACGAACACACGACTGATAGCCGAAGGAGAGACGCCATACTTCGTAGGCTGGTCGGAACGTCAAAAACCTGTTTATCCTGAATTGATACACATGATTGAGAATGAGAGACTTTGAAAACATAGTTTGTTCTCCTCTCTGTTAGTTCGAAAAACCCTAGAATATGAGGCATACGAGTAGATTATCAAGATGGTTTACTAATAGATCTTTTGATCTTTATCGAAGGTTTTCCAGAGAACGCAGAAATGCATCGTACGATGTAGCGATCCTCGGTGGTGGTGCTATGGGCTCATCTACTGCGTATTTTCTTGCTAACAGACAGCCTGATTTGCGAATATGTGTGATTGAACGTGATCTTACGGTAGGAAGGTATACTGCACGCACGTGTATCATAGTGAAGCACAGTAGAAGTACTAACCCTAACCCTAACCTTTGTGACGTGAGAAGAAAAAAGAAGAATCATTTATAGAGCGAATCGAGTGTCGGGGAGGGAGGGGAGCAACGTGTTTAATAGAGGACAGCAGAATAATAGGCTGTTTGTTGCATGATGGCATCATTTTACTACTACCACTACCAAAATGCTTGGCTAATATTTTCTTTACTATTAATATTTGTATTCCCTCATGAGAATAGTAAGACAATAGGCCCTTTGCAGTTAATGATCACTTGTTACTTGAGAGCAAATTTTTTGTTTACGTTTTAAATGAGCATGAATGAAATTCAGGCAAGTTAAAACCGAGTCGTAGCGGCCAGCGGCTACCCACCCCAATAATATGCGGTGGGGGTGGGGGGGTGGGGCGCGTTTTTGCTAAGGACTTAGTGGCAGCTTTGCCAGCAGTCTTGGTAGCTTTGGCTGTGAGCGTGCAGCAAAAAATTTTTATCCCGCCCGCCCACTCCTCTATTGGTGGGAGCAAGGTGAGTATTATTCCACTGAGTGGTCAGTGTGACAGGTACCAGGTGGTGAGCTGTGGCCCAGTCGCCATGGTTACCTCCGTGRTAGGGCGTAGTCTGATTGATGCGCACAGCTCGCACCATGGTACCTAACCCCAAACTTATCTAGACGATGAGTTTTAAATTGACAATTCTCTTTTAGCTACTTGTAAAGAACTAAATGAAATGGTGTGTATCCAGTGGGTTAGGAAATGCAGTTTATTATGTCTCGAAACAGGTTGTAGAAAGTGTCTTTACTCACCAGTAAAAGTGTTCATTCATTTGCTCTCAGTGATTTAATTAGCATGTGATTACTGAGCTGCAAAGGACTATTGGCGCTAATTAACTGAACAAAAGAAAGTGTTTTGGAGATTCTGGTGGTGGTAGTAAGTGGAAGTGCCGCCCTTTTAATCCTAATTGATGTTCTTAACTTTGTACATTATATTTTTTTACTTTTGCTTTAGTTTTTCCTTTTTTCTTTTAGTGTGTTTTTTTTGTTTGTGTCTTTACATGGGACTCTTGTCCTGTTGACCATGCCCTCAATTAGATATTAACATCTGGTTGTAAAGTTATTAAATAAATAAATAAATAAGTAAATAATGAAAGAAAGTCAGGAAGATTTTTTTATCAGATTTGAATTTAATGTAAAAACCTCTCCTCCCCCCTCTATATGGACTGATCCATAACTATCGAATTCTTTACACTTTTTAATAGTACTCTAAGTGCTCCACTGCTCTATCAGTTGGCTCAATACGTCAGCAGTTTTCTACTGCAGAGAATATCCAACTTTCTCAGTTTGGATTCCAATTCTTGTCAAACATTGGAGAGTATCTGGGTGTGGAAGGAAAAGATCTTCCGGATATTAACCTGAAGAAAGGAGGATATTTGATTCTGTCTGGAGAAAAAGGTTTAACAACCTTGCAAGATAACTATACTTTACAAAGGTATTGTGGGGGGGGGGGGGGTAATATTCAGTTTCTAGTATAAAATTTGCATATATTTCCTCAAACTTCAAAACTTGGGGATGGCAGAGCACCCTAAAACAGTGGCAGGGCTTCAGCAAGTGAAGTTCAAGTGACTGTCATTAATAATTCTGACATGTTTATTAACCATATCATACCAGACCCTCCATCTCTGTGGTCATTGACACCAATGACTCAACATCATCGATAGACATGAAGCACTCTCTTTGTTTGTCCTATCCTTTTATTCAATACATTAACCAATTTTTTGAATGTTTCAGGGATTTAGGATGTGCTGTAAGTCTGCTGACACAGGATGAGCTAAAGACAAGGTTTCCTTGGATGAATACTGATGGTATCGGCATGGCCTCTTTAGGTATGTAACAAAATGCTGTATCCATCCTACTTCTCCCCTCCCCTCCCCCCTAAGCCAACTTACCCTGAGTATGAATGCTTACTGGTTACAGGAACAGACAAAGAGGGATGGTTTGATCCATGGGCTTTATTGGATGCCTTCAAAAAGAAATCCATATCTCTTGGTGTAGACTACATCCATGGAGAAGTTACAGACATCCAGCTGGGGAAAGGAAACCTTGTTTCAAATATTGAGGTATGTATGATATCATAGTCAAGGGTTAGGTGGATGGACACCCAGCAGGAATATCAACCTATCCTTACAAGATAAGTAATTACTGATCCAACAGCCATCTACCAAACTGCTGAAGTAGTTGTGCCCTCTGCATGATATAGGGATTGCAAAGGTCATGATGACACTACAACCAGGAAGAAACTAGACACCTCACTTACCCAGCCATATCTTTCCCCTTTCAGATAGTTCCCAACCATTTGCTGCAGTCTCGACAAAACATCACTTGTGGGGTGGCAGTGAACACTTCRGGGTGTTGGTCTGGTGCTACTGCAAGCATGTTAGGAATCCACCTGCCTATAGAGCCTCGAAAGAGATTTGTCTTTGTAATAGACTGTCCTGATCTTGTCAATGAAGATGTGCTCCTTTGTGACAAAAGTGGATTTTACTTTCGTCCAGAAGGCAAACACTTTGTTACTGGCCGGTGTCCGCCAAGTGTAAGATATGACTGCTACTTGTAATTGAGAATTCATAAGAAAGATCAGCTGCAATCAAAGCATTATTGTCTGAATCAGTCATAAATGCATTGATTATCAAGTGCACAACAATCCCAAGACTTCTGTTTGTCTGAATCATTACATAGGCTGTATTCATTATGTATGCTACAAGCCAAGCTAGGGGAAGGGGGAGTATGAGGAATGGTAGAGGAGATTCCATCGAATTAGAGGCCAGAAGGGTTTTATTAGGGGATGGAATGGCATTAACGGCGGAGCTGGCTGATAAAAAAAGATCAAAGTCAATGTGTCAGGTTTGATAACTTTCATTGTATATTGATTTAGGTTGAAGAAGAGCCAAGCATAGATAATCTCGATGTAGACTATGACTTCTTCTATGAAGCACTTTGGCCAGACCTTGCCTACCGAGTTCCTGCATTCGAATGTTTAAAGGCAAGTGGAAATATAAACTAGTTTAACTAAATAGTACATTGATGGACAGATTTACGGATGAACGGATGGATCGATGAATCGATGGTCGGATCAATAAATGGATAGAGGGATGGATGGAGGGATGGAGCAAGGGATGGATATATGGATGCATGGATGAAGGGGTGAGGAAAGGGAGTGTTGCATGAATGAAAAGATGGAGGAGGGAGGGAGGGACAAATGGATAGAGGTAGCAGTGATAGAAAGTATTCACTCATTAACCAAAAGTCTCACGTCTTTTAGGTCAAATCAGCTTGGGCAGGATATTACGACTATAACACCCTTGACTGTAACGCTGTTATTGGACGTCACCCAGAAATAAAGAATCTGATATTTGCCAGTGGCTTCAGTGGACATGGAATACAGCATTCACCAGGCACAGGGAGAGCTGTTAGTGAACTTATACTCGATGGAAACTTCACGAGTATTAACCTGTCAAGACTGGGCTATGAAAGAGTATTGAACAAGGATCCTTTGAAGGAAAACAATATAATTGGCTAATATTGGCTAACCACAGAATAATGAGAATAAGTGCCTTGTACCCATCTAGTATATATAACAAATTTCCGGTTTTCCGTGGTATGTCTTATTCACCTCGGCTACGCCTCATGAGTACATAGGCGGACATAACACATAAAAACATCGGAAATTTGTTTTTTACTACGAAAAAAAAAAAAGTTTCCTATTCTAGCGCGCGCTGGCTCCGTGCACTAGCGACTTGTAATCCATTGACGTAATTTATTGGTAAAGTAAGAAAAAATTGTCAAATTTAATGTGAAACATACTCAGGTGGCTTACCCGCGAGAGCGCTCGCCTCTCATCTATGCCATCCAATTCCCGGACTTGGTGTCGTATTTGCATAGAGTTGTTTGCTTCTCTCCTGTGCTATAAGGTTTTCTCCAGGTTCTTCGGTTTTCCTCCCTTCACAAAAATGAACTTCTAAATATTATAGGCCTCCCTTAAAACCAGCCTTAGATAGTGCAGTTTTCATATGACTGTGAAAAGCTCAGTTCCGTGCCGTGACCGTGATGTTTTCTAGAATTTTAATCGGCTGATTTTTTTCTCGTGCAATGTGATTGGTCTGAAAGTGCCGTGACTTTGGCGTGACCGTGTCCGCGCCGTGTTTATGCCGTGTTCTGGGTATTTGATTGGATGGAGAGTATATTCTCGAGCAATGTGATTGGTCTGGCGTATCCCTAGCTGTGTCACTAAGAACGTGTTCGTGCCGTGAGCTTTTCAGAGTCATGCGAAAACTGCTCTAAATTGAGCCACCTGGACGGCCACAGTTTGCTAACCACTTGCTATTTAGTGCTACCCTTGCAAAAGCAAGGACGTTTTATGTCCTACAAGCTATGGCCGCCGAAACTTGATAATTTAAAAGAAAGGTCGTGGGTTCGAATCCCGCCAGTAGCTCGTTTTTTTTCCAAGAAAAAATTTGCTTGAAGAAATGATTAAATAAAATTGCTGAGTCGTCGTAATCCTTGTCGTACTCTTTAAAACAGATACTGAACATGCGTAGTTGTTTTCGGGGAAAACTGCTCCAACGGTGATTCGTTCGCTATTGTTTGAATAGCCCAACGTAACCGAGACTACTTTTATAATCATCATTAATAATAAATGATTCATCACTCAATATTGGATGTAATTAGTTCCTGCAGACCGTTTTAAGAGAGTATGTTCTAAACTGGTGAAGTTAGCTTCAACAATGTTGGCCGACGGTTTTTCCCTCGTCCTAGTATTCGTTTTACCGTATGCTACTCCAGGACTGGGATCAGAACCAGCAATTTACCGTGAAGACTATACGAGATTAACTACTTTCCACAAACTAAAAGGTACTTATTTGATCAGTTATTAGTTATTGTATTAGAAAGTTATCACTAGCTACTTGTAGCTACACCGATCGATTCTTTTTTATTTTTAGAACAAAATCTGTAGAATCTTTAGTTTAGGATTCTTCCTTTGGATAGTTTAAATGAAGTTAGGAATCAAAAGTAAAGTATCAATTTCGGAGCATAATTGGGCTTTGATATTCATCATCTTGACCATGATTATTGGCGCCCCACAGGTTTTTTTTTTTTTTTTCATTTTTACTACGAACTCGTACACTGGGATATCACTTTATCTATTCAGTTATTTCTGTAGAAAAACATCGACAATATTCATATTTTTTTCAGTTGTCATCGTATAATAAATTATTAAGTGGCATCGTTCATTTTGCCATTCGCGTACCTTTTGTATCTCGGTGCGTATCTGCGCAAAAATAATAATTAAATTGCGAGAGATCTGTTGAATTCAAGGAGTTCTTATGTTGAAATATTTCAACATTTAACAACGAAAAGTTTGTTCAAAGAGCTAAGATTGAAGGTGCTTATAAAATGAAGGTGTAAATGTACTATTAAAAATTGTTTTACTTCAGGCTGATTTTCCCGTAAATCTAGACGGGAAGCAAACACGAGACATCCTCGGCATGTAAGGTGCGTGTAATCACGACCTACTGGGAACTAAGGGCTATAGGAAAATATATTTGGACACATTCATTTTCTAGTTTAATTTAGCCCAGGGCCCAGTTGTTCAAAGCCTGATTAGTGCTAATCCTGAGTTAACTCTTAATAAGACCTATAGAGTTAATCCTGGATTAGCATTAGCACTAATCCAGCTTTGAACAACCCGGCCGCAGGAGTGAAAGCTAGCTCATCGAGGGAGGTCATAGCTTTTTTTTTTTTTTTTTACAATACGTGAATTGAAGACGAAAAAACTCATACAAGATAAATAAAAAAGAAAGATTTATATGAATAAGTAAAAATAGGAATTGTAACACAACAAATGGGAACAATAGCTGAATATAGAAAACAGTTAAGTGAATACAATTGTAACTGATGTTTACTGAAACACGCTCACACTTCTATATCAGTAAAGGGTAAAAGAATATTATTAAGTATTCAGAGAAAAAGTATATAACAGGAAAGCTATCATTACACCTTTTAGCAATAAGGCGGCTATCTTGGTTGTCTTAATTAATTAGTTGCTGAGATAGCAATTATTGGACAATTCATATACTACACAGCTCAGTGTCACGGTGTCTTTTTATATAACTTTACACTTTTCAATGAAAAGCACATCTAAAAAGCTATTGAATTTGCTGGTAGTTGGAAAAATATGCGAAACACCAAGACTCTATAGATCCATAAATTTTTTACGCTTAATTTATTTGTCCCCTGCTTTGTCATTCCATATTTCAAATGGCCGTATCAGTTAAAAGGTCTTATTGAATCGTCTAAATTCTTAAGTAAAATTGTCGAACAGCTAAAAAATCACATAAGATTTTGTTTTGTTGTGAAGTGTGATCGTCAGGGAGAGTATAGTCTTGAGAAAGACTGTTGTTGGATGGTCAAAGTCCAGCGGGAAAACGAAAGACAGTCGATGGTAGTTATACCCCTGGGGCGGTCGTTATGTATTAGTCGGCATATACCGTTTTCAAGCTTGCGTGCGCATTTAAATTTAAGAAGCTTCACGGGCCACAGGAGCTTTATAATGAGAATTATCATACATTTCTATGATATTTTTTTCGATAAGAATTCATAATATCGTTTATTCTCCTCTTTAAATATAAAACTGGCTTCTCACRCCTGTTTTGCGTATTTCAATTTCGTGGCCCTTCAACTGTTGGATGCGCACGCAACCTTGAGAAAACGGTCCATTGTTATGTAAAGATATGCATATRCAGCTGCCCAAGGCACGGATGACAGGAATCAAGTGCTGTCGAGCCAATTGCATCAAGAATATTGGGACTCAGTTCCCGTCATGGCACGGCCGACCTGTAATTTACCTTCGTGCTATAATATTTTTTTGTCTTTACTGAAAAGGTTCCTCTATGCTTAATCACTTGATCAAGAGTATGGAGGTGAGGAGTTCCATTGAATGTGTCTTCGATTGTCTTAACCATCCATACTGTCAGTCCATCAATTACCAAAGTCAAGGCAATTCCAAACACCTTTGCGAACTGAACAACAATACCATAGCAGCCAAGCCTATGTGTGAGCAGAGTAGACCTGGGTTTGACTACTACGCGCCCAAAGTATCGTCGGTATGACTGAGCATTTCCACTTGTATGATTTTTTTTTTCCATGTAAGTTGTCCATGTTTTTCATTCTTTTCATTGTTTTAGGAAGAAGTAGTCAATCCTTGTTTGGATTCACCATGTAAGAATGGAGCAGCTTGTTCGCTTGTGTGTAGTACTCCAGTTCAGTATCAGTGCCTCAACTGCAGCAAGTATAATACAGGACTAAACTGCGATGGATGGACAGGTCATATATATTTAACTTTTTTCCTTGTCTAAACTGAATTATTACCACGTTAATATCATAATAAAAAAAAGAATAAAGAATTTCCTTCCATCTTTACCATTATCATCATCAACACCATCATTATCATCATCTTCAACACCAAATATCTCTTGATAAATGAATTACCATTATTATGATACAACCATCATTTGTATGATCATGATCTTTGCCACCACCATCAATACAGCGTTCATCGTCGTCATCATATCTCACTAGTCTCACATTACGTCATATATATGATGTAATTCACTTTTTTCCAGCACCTGTGTCGTCATGTAAAGACATTTACGAGAAGACAAGGTAAGGATGATATACTCAAACGCTGAACCTGTTGACCAATGCGTTGAGCAATTTTCAAATTCAAATATTTCAACAGCCATCGAAGAGACATGGCCTATACTTTCGTCATCCAAGGCCAACAGACTGACGTATTTTGTCACATGACTGAAATAACTGGCTGTGGTACTGGAGGATGGACGCTGACAATGAAAATCGACGGCGCAAAAGTGAGTGCAACGATTCAACCGTCATAAAGATGTGATTGTTGCATAGACGTATCCTTGATGCATTTCTGATTATCCCTTTACTCACTCGACAGTTTTCTTCTTTTTTAGGATACGTTCGGTCACAGTTCATCGTACTGGTCAAACAAGATTGCTTACAACCAGACAGCAGGTAAAACAGGTTTTGATTCCATGGAGACAAAGATGCCGAGCTACTGGGGAGTATCATTCAGTGCAATATGTGTTGGATTTACTGTGAATGGTGTCACCAACTTTGCAACTATTCCTTACACGGCAACGTCACTCCATGACGTTATTGCAAGTGGAAGTCAAAGGGCGGTTGCTTTGCTTGGAAAGTCAAAATGGCAATCTATGATTGCAGGTACATCAATGCAACCGTACTGCAACAGAGAAGGATTTAATTTGCAACTAGTGCGTATTGGAATAATGACCAACAATGAAAACGACTGTGGTTCCACAGATAGCTTTATTGGCTATGGAGGGAGTGTCGGCGTGTATTGTGGCAACAGATGTTATCTTTCTTGTAGTAATGGAGACAAAGCTATTGCTGCTGTAGGGTACATTCTAGTCAAGTAGACTATCTTACTGTTCCAGCACTTTAACCAATGTCCCATTAAATAATAGCAACACAATAGATATCCTGGACAATTTTTAAAAGCACTTTATGCATGTTTATATAGTGGGAAAGCCGGCTTGGCTATTAATAGCACATAATAATAGTAATAGTAATTTTAATGATCTTTCATTAACTTATTAGTAGCCTGCTATGCTTGGTGGTAAGCGGTTAAGGTTAGGCGCTGACGGAGGCGCGGAGGCGTAGACAAAAATTAAGGCTTTCTTCCTCCCTGCCATTGAACAAAAACGATAATAACCGCAGACCGCCCAGCAACGCCGGCTAAAATGTTACTGGATACTCTAACACTTGTAACATATCAAAGTTTTAAATAAACGGATTATAAAGTCTTGTCATCACCATTGTCTTTTGTCTTTCATTGGTTAAGTCAATCATCGGAAGTAGACAGAGAGGAAACTAAACTCCTACGAACTCCTTAAAAACGAGCAACACTTCTACCACCGTGACATCTACCATGTTAACCGTGAAGCAGACGCGTTGTCTTTTATTGATTTTCAGCGTTTTTGCGGCTTGTGTTGATGGAGTAAGAGGTACGTAACCCCACTACTTTACATTTACCACCTATACTAGATTTACCAAGAATACCATTGAAAATGGATCTTAAAAACAAAATGTGATAGATCTTGATTTTGTTGGAATAAGCCATAAAGCGTTCATCAAACTGAATTAACAACAGATTCAATATTTCTCATGAAATCGTTTTCAAATACCAATTTCAGTTTCATACGTTATTACACGAAGGAACGGTGCAAACACGACGTCAGCAGTATTATAATCTGCCGTGATCTGAAACGCGAAGGGATTTAACTGACCATGGTCCAGTTACAATACGTAAACATTAACCGAGTCAAATAAGATTCGCTTTTTATCTGTTGGAGAGATTTTGCCTCAATTACATATGACCTTTGAAAATAGGTATTTTTGAGTGGTTTTTCTAAAAACTCATAATGAAATTTGCAAGTTTTGCACAAGCGATCATGGGAACAGAGTTGTTACAAGACAGGATCTGCTTACTGACGTAAATGATGCATTACCTGTTGTAACAGTATCACTGTTTTCATAGTGTAACTTTATCTTTCAAACTGTAAGGTTGCCCGCCATACGAATCTAGTTCCTTTAAAGCTGATGCTCGCAACAATTAAAAAGATATGCGGAAAGGATATAGGATATATACACCCAAAGGAAGGAAGTTAGACAACAGAATTTAAAACAATGAAAACGAAGAGCAGTGACGATTAATAATATTTCCTCCTCAGGTGTTCCGGCCTCGTGCAGCTCAARCTTGTCAAATGTCACCTTCTCATCCTCTTCATTTCAAGATAATCTCCACTCACCACACGAAGCACGCATCAACGGTCCTTCGGCCTGGTGTGCTAAACAAAATGACATCACATCACCATGGATACAAGTGTCATTTGGTAAAAAGGTTCAGGTGACAGGAATGAGGATTCAGGGAAGTAAAACAGAGTTTATATGGGTGAAAAGGTTTAGTATTGAATATATGCCAAGAGATGGGAGATGGATTAAATATGGTCAGGTAAATAAGACTGAAACGCCTTTACAGTATATATTTAAATATCTGAGTAAATAATGTGACCAGCTATTGAAGTGAATGTCGCTAAGAAAATCACTCTTGTAACGTGTCACACAGGTGCTGAATGGCAACTCATACAAAGACTATACATCTGGCAAAACCAACACATTCCGCCCTGCCCTGTTTGCGCATGATATTAGGGTATATCCACTAGAAGTCAAAGGTATTTCTACCGGAAAGGAAGAAACCTTTGCTCCTTGTCTACGAATGGAATTTTACGGGTGTCACGGTAAGATTGTGTTACTTTGTAACGTAGTTCGTACTACTAACCATGTCATGGCATGTATTGATACAATTAAGTGGTGCTTTCTGTAGTGTCCTGTCCTGATCCTGGTCAACCAAAGCATGGCATACGAATGGGAAACAATTTCCTGGACGGAATGATTGTTAATTTTACCTGTAATCGTGCTGATTATGATCTTGTCGGTGCTGCTTCTGTACGATGTACTAATGGCACTTGGGATAAACCTACGCCTTCCTGCAAAGGTAAATAATACATCTGTTTCACTGCGTACAAACAGTTCTACCATAATAAGAAATGCTGACTTTTTTCTAGCTCGATGTAAATATCCAGGAATTCCCAGGAATGGATTGGTAGTAAACCTAGATTTGCGCCATGCCAGTATCATCCAGTACAGGTGCAGCAAAGGGTTTAAACTTCAAGGTTTTGCAAATCTGACATGTTACAATGGACAATGGAACCACCTTTTACCTTCATGTATCATTGACGATGATGATGACGATGATGGTTCAGGAAGTGGTAGTCTAGGTGAATATAATGATTCAATCATTGCCTAATGTCGTAATACTGTGCATTTACACTGTCCAGTAAATCCTTGTATAACATCTATCGACAGCTTTGTCCAATAAATCATTGTATAACATCTATCGACACCTTTCTCCAGTAAATCATTGTATAACATCTATCGAC